AGATGGACAGAACATTTACTCCATCGGCCACAGCTCTGTCGACAGCCGACAAAATGTCGGAGCTAAAGCAGCCGCCGGCCCAACAGACTTTGTAAGCCGCTATTCTAGCACCGGGCGCCATTCCTCTGGCCGTCCCATACGCATAACCGAGGAGGTTCGCGCTGGCTGTCGGAGAGCCGGCGACGGTGGCTGCCGTGTGAGTTCCATGCCCATCTTGATCCCTTGGAGATTTATACTCCAACTTTTCGTTAAATTTCCCAGTTGCAGCTTCATACCCATGGTAGAACATTCTAGCTCCAACGATCTTTCTGTTACAATTCTGTTTCGTGAAGTCTCGCCCTGTTTCGCATTCCCCTTTCCAATGCGCCGGCACCGGCGACATCCCGGCATCGTTGAAGCTCTCACTCTCCGGCCAAATCCCAGTGTCCAAAACTCCAACAATGACGTCATGGTCTGCAATTTGCTGAGACCAGGCGCTGTTGCTGTCAGCTGGTTCAAGCCCAAGAAATCTGGGGCTTCTGGTGGTGTGAAGATCGTACTTTGTCTCTGGAAAAATGGCCAAGACCCCATCTTCTTCCTCGAGCCGCTCTGCCTCTTCTTCACTCAATCGAGCTGCAACTCCATGGAAAACATTCTGGTAACTGTAAATGATCCTCTGTTCACCTCCCCCATTGCCTTCTCTCTCAGGATTAACGACCACACTGGTAAGCACTGTGGAGTACCACTGAAGATGATCCGAAAATGAGTCCGGCATTGCAGACCTATCCATTTGAACAACATAAGTTTTCAGAAACTGAGCGCTTGAAAGAAGCGAACAGTCAAAAACCAGCAGCAAACACAGCCATTTCAGAGGAGTATGAGCCATTTGGGAAGCAGAGGAAAGGAGTGTGCTCTCCTGTTTGCGAGAGAAATGAAGAGGGAATGGGGGAGCTTCGATACTGAAGGGGAGTGTGTAATAAAGGAGAGTGGTTGTTCCATGAATGCCAAAATTGAAGAGGGTTAGGAGAGGAGATCAGTACTGGTGGTGAGTAGTTAATTTGGTTATGTATTATGGTCCCCTGTTTTTATTGCCATCCCATTAATATTATCAACATCTACCCTTCCTGGAAAAATATCTTTGTAGTTCATACAATTTTACTCATTTCCCTTTTTCATGAAGTTTAAAACTTTAACCTTCAAACCCCACCATCTCATCTTCTATGTCTACTGTAATATATACATGATTTGTTTTGAAAAGTCGTAGAATTTAATGCTAAATGTACCAAAGAGATCGAAAATTGGATTGGAATCGAAGACATGACATGGGTGCTTTCAACATATTTTGTCCACGCTCCTCACTCTCCCGCAATCTACTACAATACGACAACACAAGTTATTTTCAACATATTTTGTCATCACTCACTCCTAACATATGTACTTGCTTCAAAAGTCTTTTCGACAATCATCCGAATATGCTTTCACTTGCTACCACAGGTTGATTTTAGGAATTATAGACCTTCACAATGGTATATTATGATGTTATCCACTTTTTGAGTATAAGCTCTCATGCTTTCCTTTTAGTCTCTACAAACAAAAGGCCTCGTAGATATATTCCTTACTTGTAAACAGAAGATCATTCCCTTTAGAAAACTTAGTAACCTAACACACAAACCCCTTGGCAATGTACACATGCTCTACAAAAGCAAGTAGGTCACAGTTGAGACCTTACTGTATTAGGCACGGGAGGCTTAGCTCCTCCGTGACTGGTGGTGGGCCGCCGCCGCCCGTGGTGGTTGTGAAGATGAAGGTTGTTTGTACATCATCAAATGGAACCCTTTTTTTCACAGGATTCATGTACGGTTCATGTTCCACCGTTGGATCCATTCAATCCAACCGCCTCAATTAATCTTCTTTCTTTGTATGGTTTCTTTTGAGGTAAATTTTTTCGAAGATAATAATTCCTTTTGTCCACTAATCAATCATTCGCTAATAAATTTTTCCTTTTGGAAATTATGAAATTTAACTTCTTCGTCAACAACATTTGATCAAAAATCAAAATGACGTACAATCCTTTTTGTAACTTGTAAAACACTAGTTTTTAACCTTAAAAGTCAAGATTCAAGCTCATAACCACGTTTTTTTTTGGCATGGTGATCGATGATATCTCTATTTCTTTGGGTTTAGCTTCCAAATACGATAAGTTCATACCACAACGAAGAAGACGAGTGGTTCCCAAATCTATGCAGAGTCATCAATGCCGCTTCCACGTCCTTTTCATTGAGCTTCAACACTCTTCCGATCGCCTTTACTACTGGACCCCCCCGATAACGGCAAACCTTAAATGCTCAATCACGCTCTTGAAATTGGGTACGTAAATTTCTTGCGATTTGCCCACGAATCGCTTTCATACCCTCGAAACGACGTGCCATAGTTTCTCCGACACCGGCAAGATTAAAGAACCGAGAAGGGTCATTAATGGGGCCCGTGGATTGTTGAATTAGGCCTAAAATTTGGATAAACAGTCTGTGTTTTGTCCAAGAACGTAGGAGGGAAGATATGGAAATGGGACTCCATTCTTGTTTGTTAACTTGTTCATGGATGTGAAACAGGGGAAGGTAATGTGGAAGCTATAGAGGAGAAAGCTCAATGAACGCGACAAATTCAAGGGTGAGTAACATATCAAAACCATACCTTAAATTCAGGAGGGAGGCTTTTCTCTTTAAGTTCCCATGGCATGGGCAGCTTTGTGTGTCTTATAGGAAGCCTTCAACCCCAGTCACCTTAGCTTCAGCTAGCAACTGAGCTCTCTTCTTTCCCGATGGATGAGTAGATTGATAGTCCCTCAGCGCGGAATCCCCAGTCACCTTACCCAACCTCTCATACACAGTGGGTGCAACCCTCGGGTCGTATCCAGCAGACCAATGTAATCCGCTTCCATTTCCATCCTGAACCCATAAAAATGAATTACACTACCCCTTTATATCTTCGTTCAACAAATTACCCATACCATATAGCTCTTCTCTTACCTTCTAGAGAAAGGAAGCCTCAAGAAAAGCGTTGACATAGTGTTCACAATATCAGGCATCACGAATTGATAAAGGATAAGTTGCAAAACGGCAAACCAGAGATTCTTTGTGATACCCTCTGCAGCATGTCGAGCCACAGCATGCCCAACCTAATTAATAAAAACAACACCTTAAGGCTGAGCTAAGTGAAAGGTTGTAAGCTGAAGAACAAATCTTTATAATATACCTCATGACCAATAATTGTTGCGATTTCTACATCATTTCTGAAGTGCTCGAGCAAGCCCGTGAAAACAACGATCTTCCCACCAGGCAAGCAAAATGCATTAACAACTGCCTCATTCACCACCAAAACCTCCCATTTCAATCCATCCAAATGCGAGCTATCTGCTTGGGACCCCTGTTTCTGACCCTTCTTTCTACTGCGTTCGACCCATTTGTCATCAAGAATCTCGTCTTCACGGTACCATTTACCTTCCATCTTCCCAGCCCCAGAGTCCCTAAGCGCCATCAATGTCTCATTGCCACTCCCTTCAGGGGCTCCAATCACAGCCTCTGATGCATACCCTAAATCACTCCAAACATTCTCTTGCTTCAACCCTCTTTGTAATGCCTCAGTTATATCCTTAGCTATCAATCTTACTCTTAACACTTACTGGGTGTACAGCAGGCAATATTTTACCCTTGAAAGCTGCCTTCATTTGCTCAAATTGCGACTCCCCGAGGCTCCTCTCCATAGCTCTAGACAAGAGTACAAAGTGCCTTCGTTTTGTATAAGGTATGGTTTCTAAATTCCCATAATACCGGTGATAAAAACCCCAGAACCCGCAAACACAACAACCAATACGGTTCTTGGATCCTGAAACCATCGCCGAGGTCCTCTGGGCTTAAAATGCTGGACACGGTAGTGATCGACATAGTAAAATCTCTTGGAATCACCGAAGAAGGGATTGTATAGCCTCCTATTCTCTCGAACTTGTCTTCCAAATCTTTGTATAATTGGAGAAGACGATTGAAACCCATAAGAATTGGACGGTCTTCAAGCCGTAAACGAATACCCACCGTGGGAAATTCTTGACTTAGAATCTCGAATTAACTCGGGAAAAATCTTTGAAGACAAGTTCCGAAATGCATCAAATGCAGACTTGGATTTTCTATATAGCAACTCATATCTCTAGAGCAAAACATATGTGTAATCCAATAGATGAGAATCAATCAGAAACTAATTCACTCATGAATATATGTATAAAAGTTTCCGAGAAGGGGAAAGTAGAATCAAAAGGGGAGAAAAGAAGTTGGAAGAAGCAACAAGGCAGGAAGTGAAATGGGTTGATCCGGATTTGTGTGGAAGTTAAGATGCGTACCGTGGCGGCCATGGAGAGCCGATGCATTGACAGCTTGGCGGGGGCTGGGGCATCGGCAGACTCATCATCTTAATATCGGATAGACCCAAATTCCAAGCCGAATGGAACAGTTTCAGGTCCAGAATCTTCCACCAATTTCCTTGCTCCCCAAGAATTTCTTCTTTTTTCTGTTTTCTTTTTTGATGATTCAAATGTTATAAAAACTTATGTCAAATTTCCTTACCGCACAAATTTGAAGGTCATCTAATATAAAATTTTAGATTCATTATATAGTAATATGGGTACATCAACCTTATACCTCAAATGAATTTTGAAAGAATATTAGTATATATATTATTCATATACAACTAGTATATAAAATAAATTAGATATCGGGATAATACACGGATGAGGATAAAATTGTTACAAAAAGAAAATGATATGAAATGAAATTTTTTTGCTTTACTTACAAATATTTTGATTATGATCGGGCATCATCGTTTATGATCAAATAATAATAATGATAGTAATTAGCGCTTACAAGAACAAATCCAGTCCCCCAACCTCCAATACATCAGAGACTGGGGCTATTACCCAGCTTAATGGTTGATAAAAACAGATATTTATAGGATAAAGCTAACAATAGGAGAATCTCACATGAATCAAAGGCCAACACATCTAAAAGGTAAATAAAAACAGAAAAATCCTCTGTTTCTGAGTTCCATAACAAGACATCGAAAAGCTTATCCCAAGTCGAGAGGCTCAATCACCAAGAATTGCCTCTGCCTGTGTATAATCACTAAATATACATAAGTACACTCCTGATGCTGCTTTATAGTGAGATACTCATGTTCTCTATGCTACAAGAGTGCTACATCAAAATGTGTTCTTCACAAGAAAAGAACATGAATAGCATTTTGACATACATTAAAATTACAAAAAAAGCAGAAGAATAGACACGAAACTAACGTATAAGAACCATATGCAACTTGAAATACGGTTTGAAGATGAAGCATGACCACACAAGTTAAACCCGAACCATACGTCGTTCGGTATGGCAGTGTTGTAGTTAAACGTGACAGGTCGAGAATTAGGACCAGAGATTTTCACCGTTGTTGGGATCCAGGCATCCGGTCCAGAGCGATAAAGATAGACATAGCATAATTGGTAAGCACAAGGTCCACTTACGCTAAATGTATCAGAGGAACATCTTTCAAATATCCTTCTGGATGGATCATCAATCCTAGGCACATAAATCTGGTACACAAGTTTCTTCAATCATTAATTGTAACATGTCAAATTCCAAAATTAATCTGAAAGTAAAGACGATTTTTATTGTTTTTGAATGATCGAACGATGGCATGACGCTCTTTAAAAATGTTTTAGGAAGTTGTAGACGTTTAAGTAGGCTACACGATATTGCTCAACTTGCTAATGACTATGGATCTTTCTAAGATATTAAGAACAAATAAATAAATATCTGATTTGAAGTTCTGAAACATATAAATCAACAGGCTATCATCTCATCATAATCGAGAAATACAAACCCAACTCGATTTCTCTTTCATTTTGCATCGAAAGATAAAGGATGACCAATCAATTACTTTAACCTAACGATATTAATATGTTTTTATATCCCTCGCCAAATGTAAAATTATTCCCAAACTCAGATGCAAAATTCAACTACGATTTCGTTCATCGACCATTTCGAATAACTGAAATTAGTTCGATCACGAACGATCGAGAAACCCAGGGCTTTGTATTCTGATAAAATGAATGGAAAAATTGAAGATTTAAACGAAGAAAACCTGGTTGCCATAAGCATCGCCGAAAGAAACGCTGATCTGATCCCTTGTGTATGTAGGCGAAGAACAGCTAGTTGATATAACGACCGAATAAGAACAACTCCCGAGTTGCTTCAACATCAGAAATCCCCAAACAAGAAAGAAGAAGAGAAACACGAAATGGTTGTAAGATACAAGACTGGAAATCAGCATAAATGGAAAAAAAAAAAAAAAACCGACACGGAATGCTGATACCTGAATATAGGTTAAATTGAAGGATTCAGCGGATTCGGGCAGCAATTCCGTGGCTTCCAAGAGAGCCAAAAGAAAGGCGGAGGTGAGCAGAAAACAGAGAACCCGTTTCATTTCTCCTTGTTTGTGTGTTTGGCTTTAGCGTTGCGGAGCTTTTGAAGAAGAAAAAGAATACGGAAGAACACAGAGACATAAATTCTACGCCACCCATATTTATTTCAACTATTGAAAGGTACTCAATTTTTCTTTTCTTTTCTTTTTTTCTTTTTTTCTTTTTTTCTTATTTTGGGATAGTTATAAATTCAATGGTTTGAATGTTTTCAACTTTCAAATGGGTCTCTCAAACTAAGAAAAAAAAAAAAAACAATTTAGTATGTTCCATATATCTCTGCATAAGCAAATATTTAAACAAAAATTAATATTCTACTCTCAAAGCCGAGAAAGAAAAAGGTATCAATCATAACAGATATTCCTCCATCAAATCCCATTCTGCATATCAAAGATGAACTACATTCCTTTGACCTTGATGTGATCATCAAGAGATTCAAAAAACACAAAGCAAATACAGGCACAGCGGTGGATCAAAAATACAACCACGCCCATGGCCAAGATGCAGAATCACACTCATAGCACAGCGCTGCTAAGAAGCACAGGGATCACATAAGCAAGCCACTTCAACCTCCGCTGATGGCCGGCTGTGGAGGGGGCTGGCGGAGATGGTGGCGGTGGCGGTGGCGATGTGAAGTATTGGCAGTCGTCAAAGCCATACCATGTGTCCTCTGGGATTGAGGAGTTGTATTTGTATTTAACAGTGTCAATATCAGGGCTGGAGATTTCTACAGTCTCTGGAATCCAATCGTCGGACCCCTTCTTGTAAAGGTAAAAGAAACATATCTGGTCTGTGCATGGCCCTGTCAGTTCAAAAATGTCTTTGCTGCATTTTGCAAGTGCTTTGCTGCTTTCAACTTCCAGCTTTGGCTCATATATCTGCTTTCCAACTTCTAAATCAGCCATCCTCATCCTTTTAAACATTATTTAATGAAGTCTTACCATACCCACATGCTTTGTTCATCTCTCAATTGAATATCACATTTCCAAGTGTTTAAAGTCACTGTGTAACTGATTATATATCAAGCTTATGAATGTATGTAAACTGTAGAGACTAACACAAACTTTTAAAGATGAGGAACTAATAAAGCATTTGAAAGTTAAGAAACTAACAGTGCTACTACCTGTTATTCTACCAACAATTTCTTGTTTTTGGTTTCAAATCTGTAATGATAAACATATTTGAAAACTGATTATAAGCTTCTAATTCCAGTTTAAGTGAACCAACTATGTATCCTTTCAATAGAATCACAGATTGTAAGCTTCTAATTCTAGTTTATTTGTTTTTTTTTTTTTTTTTTTTTT